AGGTTGGCAGAAGCTGGGACTAGTGACAGGAGCTCACCCCATCACGTGACATCTGGGCCTCGTACTGCCAACCTGCCAATCTTGCAGTCAGCAGAGTCAGCGTCTTAACCACTTGAGCCACTGCATCCCTTGACTCCAGTGTAGGAGGTCCCAAAAAAAAAAAAAAACTGTTTGGGAAATCCTCCCCAGCTGTTTTTTGGCCAGCTGCTAGGTGAATAGGAAGGGAAGGAACAATCTGAAAAGCCATCTGCCCTCATATCAGCCTTACCAAATCTTACAAGCTTTGTCCCACCACCCACACAAACTCATGTTGTAAGCACACTGAATAGAGCTTTCTCAGTAGTTGCTCTTAGGCTATGATGGTGTGGCTCACTTGGCCCTTATTCTACTTTCTTTTCCCCATAAGCAGGGGTAGGCAACCTTTCCCCTTTAAGGGCCGAGGGACTTCAGCTCCCAGAAGCCTCAGCCATGTTGGCCAATAGTCCCATGTTGGCCAATAGCTCCTGGGATTCTGGGAGCTGAAGTCCCTCGGCCCTTAAAGGGGAAAGGTTGCCTACCCCTGCTTTAACTAGTTGGAGTAAAAGGTTGTGCAGTGGGTGCATTGTTATTACACATGGAAAACAGTGCACCCATCGCACAACTTTCTACTCTGACCAGTTAAAGGGTGGAGGCCTGTTTGAATAGGAAGGACTTTGCCAAATGGGGGAAAGAAAGCAGACTAGGGGCCAACTGAGCCCACACTCATAACCTAAGGGCAGCTATTGAGAAAGCTCCCTCCAGCGTTCTTATGACATGAGCTTGTGTCTAATTATTTTTAACTGCTTTTAAAAGAATGCATGTAGAGAATGGATGGTTAAATGCCTTTGAAAAGCTTTTGTGCCACATGCTGTTTTAGCTGTTTTGTTTTAACGTACACAGTAAGCTGCTTTCGTTCCCACATTGAGAGAAACATAGGGTATAAATAAATAATAAAATAAGAAAGTTCTGAGACAGGTGTGAATATCAGGTTATAGTTGTGCTTTTAAAAATAATATTGAATTTATGCCTCCACCCCCTATTTAAATGCAGCTTCTCCAAATATATTCCCTGTAAGGCCAGCTCCCAAGTATCTCAGCTTCCACCTAAAAAGTGAATTGCAACAATGCATATGATCCCATTCTTATTTGTAGTCCCTAATGTGGTACGTTCCTCTTGTTTTTGGGACAAAGTTTGTCTGTTTCCCCCCTCTGCTCATTTCCGAGTCTTAAATATCACATTAATACCGTAAAGCTGGGGAGACACTCATTCATCTCATTTCAAAAATATTGCCAAAGTGGGAATCTTGTAAAATGAAAATGAAAACAAAACAAAAACGATGAAGTTGATTGTACAAACCCCAGACATTGACGTTCTGTCAAGGCTGGTATTTTACTTTTCCTCTTCTGAGTTCGATATATGGATTTTTATCCAAACCGTTTGCCAAACACCAGACAGGTCCTTTGGCACATCGGTTTGGAGAGTGGATGAACTGGTTTATTTTAAGATGGAAACAAACAGGAGTCTGACACCAGAAGGGTTTTTTCCCCCCTTTGTTGGGAGGGTGGAAATTTTGCAAAATCTCTTGCATACTTCCAAAGATCTGAAATGAATTTTCATCTCTTTCAGTCATTAGCACTTTAACAAGGATAGGAGGACAGTGCCTCATGGCTGCCATTTCCATTATGTCCAAACAAGAAGTGGCAGGGTTTAAATGTGGTCTTTTGGAGTCACTTACCTGAAGATAATTTGTCAGGCATTTTGTTCCCCTTGTGGGTTGACAGGAAGTATTCATTCTGGTAATGTATGACAAATGAGATGTTAGCTTAAAAAGTCAGTCAGGTGGTCCTTGGTGTAGCCAAGATGCTAAAAACAGATGCAACAAATACCATGCAGCCTTATGGACTGCCTTCCTGAAACTTCAATATTAACCTTGTCAGGTTTACCATTATCACTTAGAATAATAACATCCATCTAAATCTGAAATAATCAGGTTTTTTCCTACACCAAACTCATTCTTCTCTTTCACTGACTGGGAACTACAGTCGGTCCTCCACATTTGCAGCTTTGACTTTTGCAGATTTCATTATTTGCAAATTTGTTTAATATGTTTTCTTTAGGAATTTCCAGGTCCTCCAGTGCAACTGCTGGAAATTGACCATAGAATCGCACTGGATGACTTGGAGATTACTAGAGAAAACACTTCTATAGGCATTTGTAGGTCCTCCAGAATGATTCTGTGGTCAACTTCTGGCAGAGGTTGACCATAGAGTTGCATGGAGGACTGAGAGATTTCCTAGAGAGGTGTTCTCTCAGGTAAAAACATAGTGTTTTTCATTTTTGTTTTTTCCACTTTCACGGGGGTCTTGTGCCCCTAACCCTAGTGAATGTGGAGGGCCAACTGTACTTTTTCTTCCCTTATCCAGCTGTGGTGCTATAATATACATATGCTCAAAGCATGCATCCTTACTATGAGGTTTACTCCAAAGGATGGGGTCTATTGCTCAATGGCAGGTTCCATGCCAGGCATCCCAAGTCCAAAGTATCTGGGCAGCAAGACTGAGCAAGAATGTGAAGTCGAAGGCTTTCGCGGCTGGCATCTGTAGGTTTTTTTGGGTTTTTCGAGCTTTGAGGCCAATGTTCTAGAAGAATGTATTCCTGACATTTCGCCTGCATCTGTGGCTGGCATCTTTAGAGATTCTGTGAAGATGCCAGCCACAGATGCAGGCAAAACGTCAGGAATACATTCTTCTAGAACATGGCCCACACTCTGAAAAACTTACAAAAACCTGAGCAAGAATGTTGCTTGACATCTTACATGGCTAGTGGTATTCTGTATGCACAGTGCCAAGCTTGATGAATTAGTGGTTTCATATGGAATATGTCTGTTCATTTCAGGCTTCAGGTGTCTGTCGATTGTGTGAATGTTTCAGCAACATTATTAACAACAACAACAGCAGCAGCAGCAGCAATAATACTGCACCATCTATGTGTATGGTGCTTTATAGAATCCTTGTGTACAGACCCCTGCCTTGAGGACTTGCAACCTATATTTTGACATGGAGGAAACAATCTACAAGTATAAACCTAGCATGCTATGGGTTTTACTTCTTGAATAGATTAAGGTTTTTCTGTTGCTGTATTTAGGTATGCAGGGAAGAGTTAAACAAACACATGAGGAAGAGAGTATGTTAGTTCTGCCCACCTCTGGCATTGCTTTGATTGTCTGAAAAGTGACTTTTTGAAAGAGAAGAGTCTCTTCTATGTGTGGAGCTTCTTCACAGGAAAGAGACAGTCCTTCTGAACCTTCACTTTTGACACAGACAGATGACAAGTGGATGGAGTTAATGTGCTTCCTTCTTTGTAAGTTGATTTATGCCACTACTTCCTTTGGCATCCCTGACCAGGACTTCTATGAGGCAAGGGCATTTGAGATATAGATATAGTATGTGTGTGTGCAGAAAGATAGATAGAGGTATAGACAGTTTGGGGGGAAGAATTTGAACTTTCAGTGCTCAATGGGCAAACTGAAATGGTGCATACTAGCAATAGGTATATTGAATTTTCCTCATCTATTTTCACCAGGGATGGTCAACTGCACAGAGCTATTGACATATCCCAGGATGATAGTTCCCAGTTTCGGCTACAGATTGCCCAATTATTGAAGTTTGGGGCAGTTTGGGTGTAGCAGGGACAAATTGCCCCAAACTGTTAAGTTTCCGTGGTGGTTTGAGTAATTTTTACAGTGATTTTACAGTAGTAATGTTTACTCCCCATTATCAAAAACTTTCTGGGCAGATTGGAACTTTGGAGATGTCTTAAAGGGCCACAGACATCCATGTGGGGGGCAACATGTGACCCATGGGCCACAGTTTCCCCAGCCCTAGCAAATGCTGTTTGGCCTAAATACCCTAAATGCTCCAGTTCCCATGTGATCTTGGTAGCTGAGTAAGGTCAGCTCTGGTTAGTATTTGGATGGGAGACCTCCAATGAATACCAGATGCTGTAGGCTATATTTCAGACGATGGAATTTGCAAATTACCTTGTGAGAATTCCTTGTCCAAGAAAGCCCTATGAAATTCATGGGGTCGCCATATGTCAACAGGTAACTTGAAGGCACACGCACACAGAGACACACAAACACAGTTTTCACTGTTGGTGTAGTTGTGAGAGTCTGCCTGCCATTGATTAAATAGTCATGGCAGCCGGGGGTCATCTGGCATTTCCAGGCCATGAGGCCAGACGAAGGTCATGGCATATTCTTTGTAAAAAATCAGTCTTGTAGTGGTCAATATTTTGCCATGTTTTTCAATTTGCAAAGGTACAGTCCAATTTTTTTATAGGTCGCTTAATTGCAGTTTGTTTCTCACGGTCCGCTGTTCTTATCACCACAACTCCAGGCTCCGCGAGTTCTGTCGATAATTGTACATTTGCAGGAGGCAATCAATGCAAAAATTAAAACAGAGTGGGGCTAATTAAGCTAAAGCTGTGGCTTATGAGTTTTCAATAATTACTTTAACTTCCTTCCTCCACACCCAGCCCTCACATCTTGAGAAAAATGGGGCCTGATTGAAGGAGTGGAGGGTGTTTGACTTGAAGACGTGTCAATATTCCCACAAAAGAA